TCCATAGAACACTTTTTTTTAATGGATCGCCAATTGGAACTCATCGAGATGGATTGGACACTGATGCATGATAAGCACATAGCCATATATATAGGAAACTTATGTATTGTGGCTTTACCCTTCAATACTGTGAGGTGGGTGGCTCTTGCAGCCCTCAAATGCAGCTTTTTCTTTGTGTCAGCCACTGTCTTTCAAATGAAAATTCTTCCATTAGAATAAACACTAATCTTCTCTTTGCGTAAGGATATTAGGATGGGCTGGTTAAAACCCCTTAACGATCAACCTTTTTGCCAAGCTGATAGTTTGTGGCTTGCTTACTTTTATTTTTACCCAATAACCTGTTTCACGTTCATTTAAAACATCATTGACAAATGAGGTATGCTCCCATCAAACCAAAGCCTAAAATTTGGAAAACATCATTTGCTCATGATGATTTTAAACATGTGAGGAATGGAGAAAGAAAGGGAACCGGTTGGAATGAGGGGAAGCAGATGGCGAGGTTGCTATTTTTCCCTTCTTTCTTATTTTTTTTTTAATTGAAATTATTTGTGTTTTAACTGTTGTGGAGAAACTACTAAAACCAATTCAGGGCTTGGGTCCTTGCTTTTCCAAGTCTGCATGCACTTCCAATTGAATATTGAAATAATTTTCATTTGCTTGTAACTATTTCCACATCCAGTAGATCCATGTGCGCACTTTTGTTTCCTTCCAATAATTTACTGTTTAAGATCATTTTAAATGATTCAATTTGATTTGGTTGTTCGTATCTTACAGGTTCAAGGGATTAATTGCCTGGTTTTTGAACTTGCTGACGTAGCAGCCCAAGAAAGAGCCTTGCTTGATGAATGTGAATCACTTATGGCTTCTACAGCTGCAATGCAGGTGACAAAAGTGTTGTGTTATTATGACATTGAATTCTTAAATTTTCTTTTATCTTCTCTTGCTCATTTATATAGTCATTACGAGTTAACACAACTGTTGATTATGAACATTAGCAAGGGTGATATACAAATTCCATATCTTGAATGTCAAGTGTCTTTTCTTATTTATTATTTTTTGACTTGAGCGCTTCGTTAGTTTTCAGGTATCAAAAAATAGTGGTTGCTTAAAGCATGTTACTTTTGTTTCTAACTTTCTATGATGTTTAATTAACGGTTCCTTATTGTATAGATTAAGATTATACACCACCAAAGTGAGAATCATCCTATTGTTGTTTTGGTTAGGGTGTCTTGTTATTGTTGAGACCTGATTCTACTTCCGTGGTCAAGAGTTGTGACATGCTGGCTCGTACAAGTTGGTTTTTAATAGTCAGAGCTCTTTAGTGCATGTATGGTATGGAGCATTAGGTCGTACTCTGTACAATAGGCAAGAAATTAGCTACTTTTCTTCCTTATTAACGTAGTCTAGTATCATATAATCCACCTTTCAAGCACATCATTAGTGTCATCTAGCAGGCATATACAATAAGAAGAGTTTATTAAAAGCCTGTTTATCTACCATTATTGGTAGAGAAATGGAGTAAGGAATAATATTTTTTGGAGAATGTGTGGTTGAAATTTAAAGTAACTTTATTGGTTTGTGTGTGGAATATTTTATCGAGTGAATATGTGGTTGAGATTGTTTACTGTAGAAAACAATGTTTGTAAAAATGGTAGACAAACAAGGGCTAAGTTACATCTAGGACCCGAGATTGATTCTCAGACGAAAGTTATAAATTAAATGCCTAGCTTCACTTCTTTCTATTGGAGTTTACCCTGTGGTTGTGGTTGTATGAAGGGTGTTTTACGTACACGGATTAAAATTTCATCTCCATAGGCTGGCTAACCTTGTTGTTCTTCAATTTCAACTGTGATATACAATTCTTCTCACGTCACTACTGCAACAAGTCATTAACCCTTCTGCAAACTCAGATTCGTTTATGTATATTGTATGTAATAGTTGCTTGACTATATTTACTCGAGCAGGTGGATGAATACAGTCTTAGGACCCATCTGTTACAGTTGAAACAAGCTCAGAGAAATGGCGTGCTCCCAATGCTCGGGAACCATACATGACTCTTTTAACAACTCTACCTTTGCCTCCTTGGGGAGGATGACGAGACGCTACCTCAAAGTCGGGTTTTAGCAAGTGTATATTGAGAATTCTCTCCCACCTTTTGTTTTGTTTTTTATTTTTATTTTTTTACTTTAGATAGAATTTGTAAGTTATTCATTTTCTTATTTTCTTTTCATTTACTGGTTCTATATCATGTTTAAGTGTATCTATGTTCTGTATATTAAATTAATAGAAAATGATGTTATGAATAATTGGTGTTCAAATTGGAAATATTTGCTGAATACTCATGAAGAGCGTGTTTGAGAACAATTTTTGTGAGATTTTAATCAAAATTATAGCCGTTATAGTCAACCTGTGAGCTCCACATGTGAGAGGGAAAGTAAAAAATGGTGGCTGATTTGATAGTTAACGGCTAGAAGTTTGATTAAAATCTTGATTAAAATTTCTCCCAAACAGGGCCGAAGAACATATAAGGATTGCAAATAATGTTTATTTTCTACTAATAAAAAAATTAGCTCGACAAAGTCACGTGTATTCGAAAATAGTTAATAAGAGTATTTTTGATTGTTAGAGTAAATAAGAGGTTTACGTGTTTTTTAATACAAATTGTCCATTTGTACAGAAATGTTTGAACAGAAAACCACCAGAATACTCACAACGAGTGGGTCCTAGTGAATATTTTTTTTGAAAAAAATTATGGGTTAAAAAAAATTATGGGACCCACACGCGTGAGTGATCTAGTGAATTTTTGTTGGTTTTGCTTCTGTACATGAAGCAAATCTTCTAGTTGATAATTATAAATCTATAATCTGTAAATAAATATACAAAAGTGGGAAAGACGACATTTTTTAATTATAATATCCTTGTTAACATTGTAAATTTGGTAGGTACCACTCATTTCATAAATGGAGATTAATTGTGATAAAGCAATATTCTGTGTATATTCATAAATTAAAGTGGATATTTATTGTCTGTAATACAATAGTTCATTGATAATCAGATATTAAAAATAATTTATCATATCATCAAATTAGTTTTTTTTAAAAAAAATTCACTTCACAATTATCACTTTTCAAAAAATCAATGAAATAAAGAAAAACCTAAATGTTTAATCCAGCACAAACTTTACATGACAAATTACAATAGCAACAATTTCTATCTTTCTTTTTAGGTGAAAAACAATTTCATTAAAAATCAAATAGAAAAGTGATGGATTACAAGAAATCCAATGAGAAAAAGGTATCATACTCGTTGTACATTATAGTGTACACTTTGTCACGTGTCAAGCTACCATTTGACAGTAAAAAAAAAAAACAGATTTTTTTCACCGATCACATCTTGTCAACAAGAATAATGTACAAAAATAATGTATGATGTAACTTTATTTCTCTAAAGTATCGTGAGAAGCTAGCGTATGAATCGACAAAAAATGTTAAAAATACAAGTATAATAAATAATTAAAGACCGACGACAGTAAGACCTTGTTTGTTTTGGATTAAAATCAGATTTTAATCAAAGTTAAAGTCAAACAATTAATATTAATCACATCTTTTATGGGTCTCATATCTTTTCAACCACACATTTCAAAAACTTCTATTACAATCTATTAAAAATTTAATTTTAATCTCCATCAAACACGCATTAAGGCCGTGTTTGACAGGCCGTGTTTTCCGGGGAAGTAGGAAAATATTTTCCACTTTCCACTTTTTTGGCTGTTTGATAGGCGAAATTTTCCACGGAAAATATTTTCCGGATTTTCCTCACACGTGTGCATTTTCCCGATTTTTGATGAAAATGTTTTCCCG